CTCAAGAAGCTTAGATTTTTACAACACCGTATACATTAATAATGTATTTAGATTTCTGGACATCATAAAAGAGATTATGGGATGCTTCGCGATATTGTTTATAGCCGCAGAGAAGTACTCAAAACGAAAAACGTGGGAGTACTTTCTTCAAGAAATAGTCTACTTAGAGAAACTCAAAACCCCAAATCGAACGGTGCGTTATCAAGAGGCCATTTTTCCAGTTCTGCTTTTGCAATTGTTTCTCATTGTTTATCTGCACTGACGCTCTGGTGATATACATTAGAAACATTCGAACATTGAAATCGTTTTGCTTGGTATCGACATACGTTTTGATGTATTGACAACATGTAAGAGCGATGGTGATCACGAACTTCATACTTTTAATGTTCCACAAATATCAAGATGCAAACGTTTTAATTTTGGAAGGGAGAAGTACAATTTGAGTCGAGTTCAAAAGACCAGGCGTCTATACTTGACCTTGAACGACCTGGTTCAAACGCTTTCAGAGCTCATCGGGATGCAGATTCTCTTCACTTTCATGGCCGTGATTTTGCAGGTTGCTTCAATGTCATCGTTTTTTGCCCAAGTGATTAACGTGGCCTATGTCATTAACACCGATGTTGGTATCGATTTGGTAGCACTAAACAGCATGACCACGTTTTCTAATTTGGTAAGGTTTTCTATTCAGTTAGTTTTAATTTTTTTTAAAAAGTCCCAACGAATGCCTCTCAAATTTTGAGATAAACCTTTATTATTTTTTAAATGAAAAACTTTGGAAAATGATTGTTAATTTCTTATGTGTGAAAAGTAATACATTTTTATTGTTCTTGTTTCTTAATGCGAGTGAGTTACAAATCATTACTGAAATGCAAAACATAGTCGTCCTGTCCCTATTCGATAGACGTATATTGTACCTATGATGATTATCGAGGGTCCTGAGAGTGGTCAGTCTTTGAAATTAGAATTATAGTTATTTCCAGCAGTTGTTGCCAAAGCTCATTCTTCTGAATTTGTAGTTCAGAAATGGATTAGTAAAACTGCGCTTTCTAAAAATGAGAAAATTATTATTCGCAATGAGTTGCAAAAGTGTTGTTGTTTGAATTTGACTGGAGTGGGACAGCCAACAATGTACCAACTTGTGCATGAGAGTAAACGCTGCCCCATCAGATTACCAAAGAGAAGCACAGGAAGAAAATAAATTATATACTCGTTTTACTTTAAAAAAAGAAATAATTAAGAAGAAATTGTGGAAAACTTTGAAGGAAATGAATTTTCGTTTCAAAAATACTCAAAACAGAATATCACTTTTAATGAAAAAAGACGAAATTATTTGCTGACGACGATCGATATTTGAAAGCAGTTACACAGTTACAGTTATAGTTACAGTTACACAGTTGCGAATTGAACACAGGAATATCTGTAATCTCGATGAAACTTGGGTAAGTTAAGGATACACCGTTGGCATCAAAAATATTTAAAAAGCGCTAGGCAAACATCTATTTAAGGATGGTCTATTGGCATAAAAGAACCTTCGGGAAAAAGTAAAAGAATAATAATGACTCACACTGGTAACGCAACTGGATTTTTCGATTGTTGTCTACTAGCATTTCAATTAACATCGAATGCAGACTATCATCAAGACGTGAACGACGATGGTTTTGAAGACAACTTACATCCTACTCTTAATGGGTCTATTATAGTCATGCATAACGCCAGCTACCATTCAAGAAGATACGAGAGAATACAAACGATTTCTCTGAAAAAATGACATCATGCATTGGCTTGCTTTAAATAAAAAGCAATTTCAGAAAGATATGTTGAAATTTGAATAAATGTTTTTGTACGAAATTTTGTTGTCGACAAAATTGCTTCAAAACGAAATATAACTCCATAGAATTGGGTGAAATTTCAAAAGACAGTGGATTGCGAAAAATAGAAGTGCGTCGAACACACGTGATTGAAATAGAATAGCGCTTTATTATTGTTTCGCTCTACTCCAACGACTATAGTATTTATCTATTTTGATATTATTCTAACTTCAATGTGAGTTTTTATTTACTTGATCTTAAAATAATTAATCACTATCATCATCATCATATTTTATTAGTTATAATCTTAATTGTTCACCCTCTTTAATAATTCCTGTTATTGCAAATTTACATTTTATTAAGAAATCCGAAAGGACTACATAAATTTATTTTTTTTATCGGAATACACAAATCTTGCAAACTAAGGGAGATTGGTCTATACCTATAGCTATCACTTATTTTCAATTTAACTCCAAAACTTTACACTGGCAACACTCTTCTAATATCGTGAAATTGTTCCAGTGACAATCCATGAATTTTGCAACATCTTATTCCGGCTAGTTCTTTCCGCCGAATGTCGAATTTGTTATTTGTTCTTCCACAAATATTTTGTTTGTCTTAGAATAGAATTTTTTAAAAAAATATGTGAGTATAAATAAGTTCTAGTTGTTATATTTTTATAGTTATGTTTCAAAATATGTTGTCGTGGATATAAAATGGCATACATGGGTTTGGGTTAAAACGGCATACCTATGCCATTTTATACCCCTGCAGTGGTTCATTTATGTTAGAAGAAACAAAAACGAGGGAAAGAAAGACGTACACCATGCGAAATTTGCGTGTTTTTTATAAGTATATCGTTCTACTCATAGTGGTACTTTTATTATGCTAGATGAAAGCAATATTCATATATCTAGCAAAAACCATTTTACCTTAAGACATAAGTTGGTAATTTAAAGTTTATGCTCTACAGAAAAAATGATATTCCTATTTAATTGAACATTAGTCTATTACACAAATTTGTTCAAAACAGTATTCAATCTATCTAATTCCGCGTTTCACTATAGTCAAGTTCAGGTCATGTCAAGTACAAAGAAATGCTGAATTGTTGAACTAATAATTCTTTATTGTTCAATATATAAATCAGGTAAAACGCATTCACTCCAATTGAACACAAAATAAATATGTTGTGACCGTAGATATCACCGATGTATGTGCCAAATAAATATACACAGTTGTGGCGCAATCAGATTTCTCGATTTTTTCATTTCATCCAAGTAAAATAAAATCGTACAAAATGTAGCATATTTCATAATGGTCATCGAAAAAACACATTTTAACTTGCCCTTTTCGATTTTAAGATGCGTTTTTTCTTTTGTTCCAGTTTTAAGTTTTAAGTTTTGGTGAAAACTCTGGATATCATTTTTTATTTTTATTGAGAATGATGTAAATAGTTGTATAAATTCTAGAAAACAATTTCAAACTTTGTTTAATAATTTACTAATAAAATTAATAAAACTAATCATACATGCAATATAATCGCTGTGGTGAGTGTGAGGCTCGACCAATGTTTTTTCCATGTATTTTTTATATCGTAAATATTTAGAATACAATATGGCGTTCATTACACTTTCACTATCACATTCAATTTTTAATCAGGCACCTAGACAAAGAATGCCTGTATCTAACTAAAGGTCTAGTCGTCCTATTTAGTTTAGTGTATGCGATCAAAGGACAGCCAAAAGTTTTGTTTTTCCAAATGTTTGTTGAAAGCGATCATGGTCTAATAAAAATCAACTTTTGCTTTTGTGACCCTAATAACCGTAATAAATATGATACACCATTTAAAAGCATTTTTTATGCTCTATATTACCACCAACATAGTTTTAGGAAAAATCAACAAACTTAGAGCTTCAGCGTGGCGAAATATGGTCGGTACCAAAAATGCGGGCTAACTGGAACATAGTGCATATACATTTGAATGTGCAGCCGCATAAAAAAATTATCTTAAAAATGAAAATATTAAAATAAATCTGTTTCCCTTTATGTCGTCATATTCGTTTTAAAAAAGTATTTCAATAATGTACCAATCCCAAGAACATATTTGGCGGATTTTGGGCTTTACAACAAAAATAGAAAATCCAACTTTTTTTTTCTCCAATTTCTTAGGTCTAAGTTTCCCATAAAATTATTTACAACCTTCCCAATTTAATTTTAATTTAATAAGCGAAAAAAATAGGTTAAACGACTTAAATGTTCAAAATTCGTTAGAGCGTTTTTAAAAACATTTATTTATATATAAATCAAAATAAAGTTTTATTCGGACTAACCGATACAAAGGCTGGAATAATTTAGAGCAATTTTAAAATGTGACAATCGAATAAATAGGGCTTTCGATGAGGTGTCAGCGAGGAGTAGGGATGTTCCGATACCATTAAAGTATCGATACCTACTCATTTCGATATTACACAAATCTTTTTTCGATACTACTCCAATAAATACTCCTAAAGTATCGATACTTTTAGCACTTTATTATTTTTTTATTTATTTTAATGAACGCTGAAGGACAATAATTATAACAAAATTAAGAAGGAAAAGAAAACTTTTATTATAAAGGTTTGCGTCACGTTAAGCACGTACTTTAAACAAAAAACTCCATGATAACCTTGGAATAATAAGCCGATGATTACAATAAATAAAATTATTTGTAAGCAATCTCCTGTATGTTTGACAATTGATGTTGGTTGACAATGAAAAAAAATGAAGGGCGGACGTCTTTCTCGCTTTTGTCTCGGGCTCGGTCGAGTGAAGTCGGACGAGTTCGGCTTGGCTGGCGCGAGACAACGCGTCACCATAGATCAGATAGAGATTAAGTTTGTCTGATGCGTTCGGTTTTTTTTTAATGTTGAGGCTGATTCGAGTCGATACCAAGTACTTTTGTTTCGATACCGAGTAAATATCGCAAGATTGATTCGATGCTATAAATACTTGGTATCGAATCAAAAGTATCGAGTACCTACTCGTATTTACTAGTATCGGAATATCCCTAGCGAGGAGTTATTTTCGCTTAGCTTTGGGCTTCGTCTGCAGTTTGGGACATATAACTCCTCCCTCCTTAACAAACGCTTCCAAATTTTCTTCTTGCATAATGCCTAGAACATCACAAACCATATGATTTCCTTTTAATTCCAGTTTGCCGTGTCTGCGATTACCTTCTCATGCCACGCGACCGTCAAAGAATCAGAAAAATTGATCGGGATCTGCTACAAGCTGCAAGAAAAATTTCATATCTATTCAGAGGAATATCAAGAGATACAAAATCTGATCAATCTGGTGACCACCAAGAGAGTAACGTTTACCGCGGCAGATTTCTTCGAAATCAACAAGCCCATTCTTTTCGCGCTAGTCAGCACGGCAACGTCCTATTTTATCGTGGTTATTCAATTGCAGAACTAGAAATCATAAAAAATAATATATAATAGGTACTGTCTAAGTTTTGCACTACAGAAATATAGGGGTGCATCATTATTTTTTTAATCGACCAAATACCATTAAGAAATTAAAAGTTCTACGAAGCACCCTAGCATAAATTTATTACATTAAATTATACATTTAATAAGTTTTTCACAAGTTATTTAAAAATACCAATTTTATTATGTTTCCGAGGAAAAATTAAAAAATATTTGTACCTTTTTTGTAAAACTTTTGAAATATCTCTGCATTATGAAAAACTTTTCTGAGATTTTCGGAAATAAATTTGGTATTCTCTCTTTCGGTCAAAATCGTGTTACTCACCCCGTGTGTTTTTTACTTCGAAATAAGTGCGGTCAGATATTATCTACAAGTACTAAAATTGCTAATTTAAAAAAAAAACACATTGTGAACCTAACGCACCATACTGTATGTATTTGTGGAAACACTCATTTTGATTTTTTGGTGACAAAAGAAACATTATTTTGGTTACGGGCACTTTCGTGACGCTGTTTCCAGAAAGACAATCTTAGTATAATGTCCAAGTTTTTTTGCCGTATTTCTCGATTATGTAAAAGATATCGAAAATTATACCACATTTGCAATATTTATTCATAACGTTTTTAAAATTTTAAGTACGACGCCAAATTGTTGCTTTTATTTTATTGTGGTAGGTACAGATTTTCACCTATATATCACGTTATCACGTTTTTTCACGTTTTTATCAAGCATTTTAATGTTGACTAATTATTGGTGATATACTAATGTATTGTGATTTATTAATCTGATAGTTTAAACTTATTTAATAATTTTCTGAAATCTATATTAACTAAGTTAATTTTTATTATTTTCCCATAATTTTTATGGATCGAAGTTGAACGTTTTTGTTTTGCCATGCGAGATATCGGTTTTTATTTGTGATTAAACCAGACTTTGGGGATTTTTCGAATCAGTACGATAAAAAAAAAGATATATCTATTGTATTGATTATTGATTATATAATATCGATGAACTTTTGTAGCTATTGATCTAGAAGAATCGATCTTAATTTTATGTTACATAAATATACATGTAACGAACCACCACTGCACCGATGCCATTATCTTAACCGCAACGCCTTAAGAGGGCCCGACGCAAAAAACCCTTTGATCCCGCTCAGACCCCGGCACGTCACGACGAGTCCGGATTCCGACACGTGAGTTGCGATTCGACGGCGTTACGCGTGGGACGCGAAGTTCTATTTTCGTTTTATTCACGCATTTGATCATTCCTTCTGGAACTAATTGTTAAAGACACGCAAACTTAGTAAAATAGTAAGAAGTCTGTTCCGTGGTTTTCGTGCTACCCACTTTACCCCGAGAGGACCCCGTTCTCTTACATACAATATTTATTTTGAGGTAAGGAAAAAATTAGAAGTTTGAAATTCTTGGACTAAGGATTATTCAATAAGATTTCCTTTCATTTAAAAATGTTTTCGAGATCACACCACTTCCGGGGACATCGGAAGTGCTTATTTTAAAATGAACACCCCGTATATTTCTTATTTTTGAATTTCTGTGGAAATTTTTTGATAAGTTTCCTACTTATTTTCATCTGTTTCTCATATATCTGGATTTTTTTGAAAGTTTTTACAGATTTACCACCATTGGTAACAGGGGGTCTTTTCTCCATTTTTGATTGGGATAAACGCTTCTGCAATAAACTAAAGCAGGAGAGTAATACTTTTTAAATCTGTAAAGACCAAAATTTTATAAACGATGAAATTATTTTCAAAGGTGTGCCGAGCTCGCTCGCCATAGTGTCCCTCCATAAGGCCCTTTCACCCGAACTGTGTGGACTCTTTGTAACAGTAACCCCCGCGATTTATTTCTGATTTAAGCAACATACGAGAATCTTCTATGCTGATAACAGAGGCTCTATTGATGTGAACATCATTTTAAGCTTTGGTCAAGATCGTACGTTAAGTAGGAATATATATATTTTTTTTTAGTCTCTACTCCAAAATACAGTTTACAAGAAGAAAATTTAATACGGCTCTGCGTTCTATCAGTAAGAAATGCAATGGCAGTTTCTGAAACGTCACGGATATTCGAAGACAGCCTTCTAGTTGTTGGTTTTTTTTGTGCCTTTGTTAATCTGTATGATAGAAACAGGTAGATAGGAATCTTATTGTTCACTATAACCTCCCGGAGCCTGACTGTGCGTGCATGTTATTTTTTATTGATATATAAATCCTTGACGTACCATTTTGCTACGTCTGTGATAATAATAGACGAAGTTCACAATTTTAATATTTTGGATATTGGAATTGTTTAATTTTAGATTCTCTTGGTTATTAACTGATAACATTTTATCAATTATAATAAGTATCTTAATGCAGGTTCATCTAATGCGTATTTCATCCACTATTGCATAACACCATTAAATTTTTCAATGCAATATTTCATTAGTAAAAATTTTGATTAATTTTCAGAATGCAATTTAAACCAGTTACCCACGTTATATTTGATATGGATGGCCTTCTTTTGGGTATGAATATTGTTAAACTATTTTTAAAAAATATTTAGGTTAACATTTCATAGAATCTGAATCTGCATATGAGAGAATTTTGGGAAGTATGACTGAAAAGTTTGGAAAACAGTATACTTTAGATATTAAATTAAAAGTATTGGGTACCGCAGAACCAGAAACTGCATCAATAATAATTCGAGAATGTCAACTGCCAATAAGTCATGAGGAATTCTTGGTGGAATATAGAGCTAAAATGAAGGAAGAATTAAAAAACCCCATGCTCATGCCTGGAGCAGAAAAGCTAGTGGAACATTTATCTAAAAAAGGTGTTCCTATAGCTGTAGCCACATCTTCGTCCATGGATTCCTATGAAATAAAGACTCAAAATCATAGAAATTTGTTCAAATATTTTAATCATGTAGTATGTGCTTCATCAGACCCGGAGGTGGAGCATGGTAAACCGGCTCCAGATATTTTTTTAGTCTGTGCATCGAGGTTTCCTGATAAGCCCAGTGCTTCGAAGGTTTGTTTGAGTAGATGAATAAGTTATATTGCACTATTCTCTAATTTTAGTGCCTTGTTCTTGAGGATGCACCGAATGGTGTAAAAGGTGCATTAGCAGCTGGAATGCAAGCTGTTTTAGTACCAGCTGAAGAAGTTAGTGATGAATTAAGGAAACCGGCAACTCTAGTCATAAAGTCCTTAGAAGACTTCAAACCAGAATTATTTGGTTTACCTCCCTTTGAATAGATGACAAATTTTTCTAGCCAGTATCTGTTAGATATTCAAGTTAAAGATTAAATTTAACCAAGACTTTTTTTTAATTTGTTGATCTGTGACACCAAGACCACGTTCGGGCACATTTACTAAAGGCACTCGCCCACTGGCTATATCGGTATGTCGAAGTTCATTGTTACTAACACAAAAATGTTAATGTTAATTTAAACTTTGTAATCCAAAGTTTGGATCCATAACAAACAAACGGCTTCTCTACGTTTCCACAATTCCGGCGTCAGCGACAAACACTACTAAAAAAACTAAAACACTTTATTCAGACTGATATAAAAACTATTATCTGAATGCAAAGGATTCCAACGGGAGTGAGGGAGCGAAAGAAACTTACTCAACATGTGATAGTACAATGATCATTCGCCCATTACCGATAACTAGATCTATACTTCTAGAATATTGACCACAATCACCGAGGTTACCAACACTAAAATATGAATATCTGGTTACAATATGAACTTTTTTAACCAAAAACACTTATTTTATTCATAGGTTTTATTTCATAGTTAGAAGGTTGTTATGGGTAAATTTAATGGCATTTAATAAACTTGCTTGAAAGTAAAAAAAACATTCATGCACAGCTCGATCTATTTCCTAAATAAATTATACTTTTGGAAGTGGAATTATAATTCTTGTCGTTTCAGATTCAAATATTTCTTACTTTTACCTGTTTTTTATATTCCCAAACATTTTCCATTAGGGACTTGGTAATGTTGGCTACAGTACACATTTTTGGTTAGCTGAAATTTGCTGATGTTGGTTGCACTGGTGACGCCAATTTCTGTCGCCATAACGTTTTGTCATTTGATATTAACGAGTTTTTTGGATAATAATTGTAGGTTTCGGGTTTCTTACATTTTCGTGGACATATTGTTAACTTACTTTTAGGAAGATGAGCGACGCAGGAGATAAAGACCGTTCCAGGGATCGTTCTCGCCGGGATCGCGATCGAGACCGAGAACGGGGAAATCGCTTTTCCGATTCCGGTAGAGACCGTAGTCCGGATCGAGGCAGAAGTGCCAAGTCTTCCATAAATAGAGTGTATGTATCAAATATTCCTTATGAGTATCGTTGGCAGGACATGAAAGACTTATTTCGAAATCAAGTTGGTGATGTACAATTTGTTGAATTGTTTGTCGACGATAATGATAAGCCCAAAGGTTGTGGCATTGTGGAATTCTCTGATTCGTCGTCGGTTAAAAAATGTCTTGAGGTGATGCAGCGGTATGAAGTTAAGGGTCGGAAGCTGGTTATTAAGGAGGATAGCGGCAATATGCGTGACAAACAAGGCAATGTTATTGGAGGTAAAAGGTCTCGGGGTGATGATAGGTTCAGGGACGACAGAGATGGGCGAAATTCGGGTCCCGGTGTTGGTAATATGCCGCTGCGTCAAGACGAAAACAAATGGGGCAATACTTTTGGTTTGAGTCCTCATTTTCTCGAATCACTCCATATTGATGCTCCTCTTAGTAACAGAGTATTTGTCGCTAATGTAAGTATGGTTCATTTCTTTGATTTAGTGTTGTTGGTAGGCGTTTTGTTTCCATATATTTATACTGATTATTGTGGCTTACTTCCAGAAGGATTTTATCATGTTGAAGCATTATTAAAATTGTTGAATTCAAAATTATTGGGTTATTCAATTGCCAAAAGTTTGTATTCAGAACAAATTTATACCAATGGATTGTTTAGATTAATTTAACCATATGTGAAAGACCTTACAGCTGAGTGGGTTAAGGTTTTATTACTATTACAATATGGAAATTATTTTTCTTCTGTTATTATTTATTATGACAGTATATCTTTGGACAGTAATAATCAAGTACTTCTCAAAATATTTTGTTTGTGTATTTCTGTTTTTTTTTTCTACAAGAACTGCCATAGGGATAAACAAATTGGATGCTACCTGAGTCACCTGTGGAATTATAATTGTTGTCTAACAACTTGTTAGTCATTAGTGGTATATCAAGTTTGGTATTCTCTTTGACTTGATTCCATTTTTTTAAAACATAATGACGTATTCCAAAAGAGTTGCTTGGAGTTTCCAGGTGGCTGCTTCATAAAATAGAAAGTTTGCTTTTGCTCGCGCTGTAGATTTGAATCAATTAGTGGGATTGGCTCTCAGAAAAAGGTTTTGGTTTATTTGAGAATGTCGGTTTTTAATTTAAATTTTAAGTTTTTTACACTATTTTGCAAATCATTGTTTGTATTATGTATCTACCTAAATTATTGGTCCACCAGTAACCAGTATAATTGTTGGATGAAATGAACTATGATGTTACTAAATGTGTACACTTCCTGGTGTTAAAAGTTTGCGATGTTTTAACCTGAGATAGTTTTTGCTGCCCTTGGATTTATTGGAGCAGATCTGGTTAATGGTAATTGTTAGGGTTTGTTGATTTTCGTCAACACTTTCTCTTGTTTTGGTAGTTTTGTGTGGAATTAGATCATTAAACACCGAATGTTTTTAATATTGATTTGTTGCTATGTTGGTACAACTGAGCAATTCTTAGATAAAAAAAAGGAACTGAGATAAACCTTTGATTTGTTTTGGTTTGTGTTGATGGAACCCAAATACTCTGGAGTTTTGTGGTGAACCAAGTTTGTTCTCTTCTGGGTTTCTGTTTATTGTCTTCTTTAAGAGAATCCTACTACTATGTGAAATGTTCACATTTAGTCATCATCTTACAAGCAATTTAAATCATATACTCACTTTGAGATTGATTTTGGGAAAGGGGAAACTACAGGTGTAATTTGAGCAATGAATATATAATTTTGGAAATGGAGTGGTTAGTTGTTCCAATTGGTTGTAACCTTGAAAAATGGTCCTTCCAGTTCCAGAGTGTTAGTAAAATTGAATTAATATTTCTAATGTGTTGCTTTGGATTTTAGCTTGAATATAACGTAGACAAGAAAAAGTTGAAAGAAGTTTTCAGACTAGCGGGTAGAGTCATTAGGGTTGATTTGCCTGTGGATAAAGATGGGAGAAGCCGCGGCTTTGCGGTTATCGAATACGATCACCCTGTCGAGGCTGTTCAGTCTATTTCTATGCTCCACAATCAAGTGAGTCGTTTCAAATGTTCTTTTTGCCAGAAAACACTGTAATTATCAATTTGGTTTCCCGCAATTGAAAAAATTTTAGATATTGTTTGATCGGGTTATGACTGTCCGTTTGGATAGAGCCAATGAAAATGTTAAGCTGCCAGATGGTTTAAAAGGTCTTGGTATGGGACTGGGACAAAATGGGGAACCCTTGAGAAATGTTGCTTATAATCTACCAAACTCTTCAAACAATACTCAACCATCAGTGGGCAATGGTATCCTGGGTGCAGTTCCAAATAATGCATTACAGGTAACACTTTCAGGGTTATTAATTATTTGAGGAGTTGTATGTTTTCCGTGTAGGTTGCCAGCGCTCTAAGTGGTTTAAGCAATGTTTCTGCTTTGGGGAATTTAAACCCATCTGTCCTTGGAGCCGCAAGCTTAGGAAATTTGACTTCTTCTTTTCTTCAAAATGGATTGGGCAGTGCTACCGATCTCTCGTCGTTAGTTGCGTCTAACTCGGCCTTGATGGCTCAAACTCAACAGCAATTGTCGGCCTTGGCAGGTGGCGGAGGTGGAGGTAACTCTATGGGTAGTCAAATGCAACCTCCAGTGTCAAATGCCAACACAAATAACCAGCAGTCTTTTGGGCGTGGAGCTAGCGAAGCATTTGTCAATCAACCCATCACATACCCGCAAAACTATTCAAGTAATAATTCCAGGTGAGCTTTATCAACTTTTGCTAAATAATTTAATCATTAATGGTCTGTAAAGCACATTTCTCCAGTTTTTTTGTGTAACTTGTGTCCTGCAAAATTCTTGATTTCTAGAAACACTTACCAAATGGACGTCAGGACAAATTTTGGAAATAACAACAGTAATTTGAAACCCTCAGGAACGGACAACAAGACATTTTCGCGAAAAGTTTTAATATCTAATGTGAGAGAATTTTCAGCTGCATAGTAGTTTTTTTATGACATTTTGCATTTCAAATTTTAGCTACCACCAAGTACTTCTTTCAAATTGCTTCAAGAAAAATTAAATGAATTTGGAGAAGTATCATATTGGGAGGAAAAAGGTACTGGCAGTTACCTTGTAGTTTATGCGTCTGAATGGCAAGCTGAAAGAGCGATTAGTATCCTTTCTTATATAAGATTTAAACACCAAATTTTTTGTATAATATATTTTCCTTAATCACATTTTTAGAAAACTTGGACAAAGCTCGTATCGACGGCAGGTACATTGATGCCAGAACATACTACTAAGGAAGTATTAATTTAGAATAATTTTTGATCATAATGTAATGGAAATATCTTTTGTTTTCAAATTTTTAAGAAGAGGAAGCTAAAAATTATACTATGACACTTTGAAAAACGGTATAAATGTATTTTGTTTTAAGATTATTGTGACTACAATTTTGATTGGCAATTTTTATTAAAAGGGTCCTTTAACCTATTTTTTTTTTTAATTTTTGTGCAACGATCCTCTTAAAAGATGCGTGCGCTGGTTCAATTTTTTTTATAGCAGCCATACGAGGAGTTTGGCAATAAATTGTAAAATATAATTTTTCAAAGAATCTTCTGGATTCCTCCATTGGTTGTTTATAAATCAGTCAGTTTCAGTTTAAGAAACCAACAGGAGGAATCCAGAACATTTGTAAATAGTATTATAAAATATAATTAAACCTCATTCAATTAGTAAAGTTGGGTACATACATACCTACCACCTCTGGCTTGCATTCAATTATTAATTTATAATTTTTTAAAGCCAATGCTAGTTTTTTATTTTTGAGAAAATTATGTCCTGTCTCAGATTGTGCAAGGAATTCAAAAGGTAACTATTCCATTAGTAAAATCTTTTTTATTGTTAAAACTCAAATAAGTTAGATGACAACGTTTTCAAATAACAAATAACATTACACTACACATAATTACCTTGTTTTTATATACAATTTTATATTTTTATCTATTTCTGACAAGCCTGTTTTGAACGAGCAATCCGAAAGAGGGTGCTATCACATCATTTTTTTTTTTTTAATAAAATAGATTTTGTATTTTTAAACATTGACAACTGAACACAATTAAAACAATGCAGCCATATACACTTTTATATCAATTATGCTAAAAACATTTAGTGAAACGGACATTCAACATACCTAACACAAATCAGTTCAGTTAATGTCTGCTTAATTACCAAATTGCAAGTTCAAAAGTGCGCCCGTAAGTGATCCTCGAACTTTAATAATATAATACATACTTTAACTACAAAAACATTAAACTAGCTACAATGTGTCGTATAACAATTAAATTTAAACTGTTGAGAAACATTGTCTCAATTTGTTAATGTCAGGTTCGCTACTGAGCAACAAAATGTATTGGTGTTTACTAGGATCAGCCGGAGGTAAAGAAAATTTTCTCATTTAGTGCGAGATCAACAGACACCCACAAATCAAGACAATCTAGATTAATCATTAAGTACCATAGTTTTAAGTGTATTAAACAATACCATGTGATGAAAACAATTGCATTTGTGGTTACCTAATTGCAGGAGCGTAACAATAAATAATTGTAAAAGTTGGTTTTACATCAAGCACTCTAACAGATAAGCAAGGTCCCTGACCCATGTGAGCATTTTGCGAGTATTTATTTGCTGTTTTACGGCTTTTTTTAGTTATTAGATTCATGAAGCTGCCTCGGGAACAATTTTCACTAAATTCGCGAAATTACGCTTGAAAAATAATACAAAAATTGGGTTCAACATTAAGTAGAAGCAAAAGCAGAAACTTCAAAAAATCTGAAATTTTGAAAAACATTTTTCCTGCCTATATTTCACTTATAATAAAATGAAAATAAATGAAATAAATTGCAAATTTACATTTTTCTACTTCAACTGTTGGTGTCAATATTTTCCCTGTGACAATGGAGTTATAAGTACTTTTTTTTTGGCATTTAATATTTTCCTCATGTCATCTTTTTAATGAAAAAAAAAACTGTCAGAATTAAAAGTTCACTAAAATATTTTAATTGATTCATGATTAGTCATATAACATTTTGACGATTTAGCGGAACGGCCATAACGTAAATATGCAATGACTTTAAAATTGTTTTCAATGAAAAATCATTTTCCAGAATTTTGCTTTTTTTTTTCTGGACATGTACAGATCTAAATTTTCTAAAGAATATTGGTAGTAGGAAAAATAGGTTACCTTTCTCTAATTTAAGTGACTGTTTTACCATATAATAATAATATGATGTATTTTCCGCCTTCAGTTTAAAAGCTGGGGCGAAAGCAAATAAATGTGTGAAGTCGAATTTAGTGAGACTAAAAACGAAGGCAAAGTTTTTTTTTTTTAGTTCATGCGTGTGTGTGACACATTTGGCCAAACATTTACTTATACACAGGGAGAAAATGTATTTTTTGTGGAGAGAAAACACCTTAATAAAAACAACAATAATGGAAACAGCTTCAATGAGGCAACTAGTCAACGTCCCTAACCCCCATGTTGTCATGATTGATTCGAATTTCCTACTTATTGCTAATTTCTCTTAAGGCAAAATTCGAACTTTTTCCAACTAAGCCTATTAGAGCGCCTGGCATAAGAAACGAGCAAATGAATATAAGCTGGTCAAGAGAGCGCTAATGCCGACGGGTACGTTGTGGGAACGTCCACACGGGGGCTGCGTGTCATAGTTTCTCTTTGGTCGGTACCCATATTGTTCGGCCAGACTGCTCTTTAATCACGTCCTTCACCATGCCGTAAATTTCTTCCGGCGTGTCACCTTGTACCACCGCTGCAAAAAGTCCGCAAGTTATTTATAACCGTCTATGTGGTTGTGGTCAAATATATCGCGTACCATGTACACATACAGAAATTGTGGCGCTTCGTGTGACCTATATCGCCATTTAAAACAAATTGCTTATTTTGTTCCAATATTTTGATATTAATCAGAAAAAGCGAGAGCATAAGGTTGTCTCGCCATCTTGAAATGTCCTTTTAATATGTGAACACAAGCTGAAACCTCAGTGAAAGCGACTAATATTTCATAGCATAAGCATCCTAACATTGGGGATCAGCAATCTTGCACCAATTTCTTGGTGTGTAAAAGTAGAACTTGCTTTTGTGCTGGTTTGATTAATAATAACCAAAACTAGCAATGTGGGTGGAATTTCATTACTAGATCTGTTGCTTTTGGAACTCTCAATAAATGTTGGTTTCTAATTCAATACATTTTTTTAAATTACAAAGTTGTCAACAAAAGCGCAAAATCCGTATTTCTTTTTGGTTTCACAAATAACACGATCTTTGTTTACCTGTAAAATATTCTCCAAATTCGTGTTCCATTTTAAGCGCCCTCTCATAGGTCTTCTTAGCTTGCTCATCAGTCATCCGCTTATTCATTTCCCTTAAAGGGGGTGCGGTTATTTTTAAAAGAAATTTTATTATAATTCATACTTACATTATAGATTCGACTGATTTAGGTTTAATAAAGACCGCTATCGGATAAAGTTGCGCCACTTGTAGCCTTTTGATGGCGTTTCCGCTAACGTCTAATATGCAGTGTTTACCCTAAAATTATTAGATAGATGTAATAGCAAATATAAATAAAACACTAATGGAAAAGGAAATTACTTTTTCCGCCACTTCTCGTACTGATGCAACCGATGTACCATACAGGTTGTCATTATATTGACCTGCTTCTATAAAAAGGTGATTCTGTATGTCCTTTTCCATCTGTTCCCTAGAAGCTACAAAGTGATAGTCTCTGCCATCCACCTCGTATTCTCTTTTGGGTCTTGTCGTGTCTGCGATGAAATAAAACATTAATTACACTTCTTGTCCAAACTTGTAGAATTGGGAATTATTTTATCATTAGGATGTTGATAACTTACGAGGTACGCAACTACCAAACTTTTCAGGAAATTCGGATATCAAGTCGTCATTTATTCTGTCTTTCAGGGGCCCCAAAATAATAACAGGTCTCGTATATTGAATTTGCATTTGTTCTACAGGTTCATAGGATAACACATTTTCATCATTGCCTGGAAAAACGATGGGAATTATTCAACAATGCGCCTGGAAATAGCGTCCATTTAGTGTTAATAACGATTAAAATTTGATTTAATTGTAAATCTAAAAGCTCTCAAACTTATTTCTAGAATACCAGGAAACTAAACTACGAAAATCCAGATTCTGAGATTAAATGAATTTATTAAGAAAATACAATTTTTCTATAAAAAAAAGCTTAATAGATAATTATACATCTAAGAAGAAACAGACATTTTATATGGATGTCACATAAATAAAAAAAAAATGCAAATTGGCAAATAATACAAATTTCTGAACAAAACAGAAATCAAACTACTTACGTACAACTCAAAGTACGTCTATCTGTCTAATTAATGCACGTAAGGAGCTATAGAATGCAAAACGCCCCGATATATGTACAGAGTGTATCACAAAAAAAATTGAAGATAGCAGTGCACAGTTACAGCTAAATTCGTGTTATTTTCAACAGAATTCTAATCTTAATTTAATTGCTGGTGTTTAACTCAAGGAACAAATCTTTTATGTTAACCAATTGAAAGGAATGTATATAATATATATAAATATGACTTTTTGTAGAAATTATGATGTATTACTAAGTGCACTCCGGAAAATTGTTTATTTGTTGAACTTAACTTCACATTTTATATATAGAGTGACTTGTATGTACGTGTGTATGTTGTTGGCCCCCAAAATGTTTCCCGTTTCTCAAATAAAAAATTGAGTTGTACTTGGATGTGTATTTTTGATTATTCTGTAAAACGAGCTCCCTGAAACGAATATTAACTGTGGTATATTATAATTTTTCTTATTACTAATTGAGCAGTTTTTTAAAATGCATGTAGATCGGCGATAAAATATTTTTTAAGAGTGTATATTTTTTTGACAAATTTAATAATTGTTCTAGCCTTAAAAACAGTCGCCCAAGAACAGGCAGACATTTTGTTTCAATCTTTGAACTTTTTGAATTAAAAAAAGGCATTGCATTAGTATCGCTTCTCGCCAAATGCGATAAAATGTTTTTTATAGTGCATTGCTATATTTTTTGTTGATGTACTCTCTGCATTTATATTTGTGTGGGTGGATAGCAAACATTTGCTGCCGCCATAATATCAATATGCTTATTTTTTACGGTACAATTCAATCTACATACTTCTCCATCGGCCAATTCAAGCAAATGTATGCCTTAAAAGTCAGTCAGTACCGCATTAATGTGTATCACAACGTAAATAGGCTTTCCCACACTGATCCAACTCAAGAACAACCTTTTCTAGGAACCGATTTAACTACAGCTACACGCTATATGATTTCATAGCCGAAAAGTTATAATTAAGAAAAGCATTACCTAAGTAGAGCATAGAGTAGAACCACTACAACTCATGAATACGACTTTAAAATGGGAAAGAAAATAGTGGGGACGCTGTTCGCGGGCTGTCTAGTCGCGGTGACACGTGTGTCGTGTTTCATAGGTAGTAAAGAGTATTAAGAGTTAGTATAAAAAAAAAGACTATCAACAAATTTATCAGAAGCACATCTGAAGTCTATACAGGTATTTGAAAAGTGTTTTTTTTCTTCATTGGAAAATTATCACAAATGAATTAACTACAACACAAAAACTCTGTTTCCACAACACGATTTAACAACTGTATAGACCAAAGGTGTCTAACTTTTATCGAATTAGGGACAAAACAAACGTGGTTAATGAGCGAGAGTGATTCCTTCATAATATGCGAAAATGAATGCGTTGAAAGAAAAAAAATGGACTCGTAAAACAACGGCGAATCTAGTGCAAATTGTTGTAGGGGACGCGCACCAAAATTGCCGCCATGCATATCACAACACTAAAACTTACTAAAGTCATCTATATTGTCATTATTCTCCAGATAAATTAGCGTTATTTCTTCCATGTAAGGTAGCTCAACTCGATATAATATTTCACCTGTACTAGGATACACAGAAAGAAGCCAAAAAAGAAAAAATATATATAGTAAATGAAAAGACGTCGAAGGCGTAATTCAAATTTAGAAAAGTAATCGTCTAGCATACGATCCAATAAAAACAAATACTATACCTTCGTTATTTGCATCTTCTTGCGTGTAGCACAACATAAACGCTGTAAATAAAAAAAAACAAATAAATACACCTACACCAAACTATATTATTGGGGCCTGAAATTGATATTTTGTTGTAAAAAATAAATTTAAATTTAAAATAAGTAAAAAAGTATATTCAAATTTAAATAAACAAACAAATATTGTTAAATCACATAACAAACATATTACAATTTAATTTTACCACAAGACGAAGTTTACGAAAATACTTACATATATTTGCCCTAAATGTTTTTCATTTTAATGTCATTTTTGAGATAACACTTCAATATACATATTATAATAATCAGAACTTTTATCACAGAATAAAAATCCAAATTTTGGGTTGAAAAAAAAAAAAAAAAAAAAAAAGAAAACAAACAAACCTGCAGATAGCATATTTCAGAACACTAAATTTCATGGATAAACCAAGGTTGAAATATGTTAAAGTATCTCAAATTTTATTATTTGTAAATTTATGAAGTCATCAAGAGAGAAAATAGCACATATCTCGTTCAAGAACAAGTTAGCTTAAGTTTCTTTATGTAGCTTGCCATTGCGATTGACAGGATTCAGTGACTTACAAATAAAGAAAAAAAATTTTTCAAAAAGACCTGGAGAAATCCAGATAATATAGCGAGTAATACATGTGTTTTATTTTTTTAATTTTTAAGACGATACAATTCAACTCGATGCTTACTTCTTACTGAAGTCTAAGACGGCAGTAATAAGTAAACATTTCCAAGTAAAAAAAATAAAACTGTGATTTTTTTTTATAATTCGTCATTTGGGTGAATAAATTGTTCTATCGTTCCCTATTGCGTTTATTTAGTGTTAAAAAATAATAATTATAAAAATCACATAGTCATTTAGCAAAATTAGCAAGCGCCGCGCGTCAGTTAGTTTATATTCGCATGCAATACGGTAGAGAGAGAACCGAAAGTATTAATTGCCTTAAATCCCCAAGAAAGTTAAAAATCCTGGTGGATTTTCATCATTTCTTGTGTCCCTGAAAGTACTTACTGGAAGAAGTTTTTTCATTACCATTAGCAGAGTTACGGTCGGAAAAGGGTGTTTCTAAAGGTAAAACAAAAACAGAAGTCAAAATAAAAGCCTACAAGGGTAGAATCTGTAGATCTTACATCAGTTTGATAATTTATTTCTTTAAATTTTTAGTAATATGGTTATTACCATACCAATATTTTATCTAAACGAGTGAAAACTAAAGATGTAGGATCACAAACGACAACACACTAACTTAAAACAAAAATAATTCTTTCACTTAATTTCTAATAAAAGGGCCAAATAGTCTAACAATAGTACAATCAATCAATCAATCAAACTATGACAAATTAAAATCACGTAAGTGACTTACGTTCTTGATCAGATCCATCTTCCGACTTCTCGTCTTTGCTTTTCATAAACGGAAACTTTCTACTAAAGGAGAAGTTCTTCTTTTTTCTATCTAGAGTTGATTGCTGGAACAATGTTGATTTAGTTAAAGATTGTGAACGATTCTTCATCGTTTTTAAATATAAAACGAAAATCATCAAGCATGCAAATTAAGTAGCACCCTAACTCCGCCTGAGCGAGAAATAATTAACAGAATCGCAAATCTACAAAATAACTATGCCTTTCTAAGTAGATAAGGTAACATAAGCAGATTAGCCCCTGCGTAAGAACCAAAGGCAATATTTCGAAAGGACGCCTGACAGTTCTGTTCTGTTCTTCTTAATGGTAACATTTCGTGATGCTGATTTTGCTATTTACGTAAGAAACTTGTTTTAAAAACTGAGAAATAAACTGTTAACAACTATCACCCTTATAACTTTGTACATAATTTCAAAAAAGTAGATTAATGCAAAGCTATTAATGACCTGCCTGGGAAAATCTAAACGCACAATTCATTATTTATTTTTTAAAATGTTGAAGTTGATGACGTAAAAAAAAATGGTACCGGATGTAATCGGACGTGTCTCTCACTTTGAAAAAATAATAACGCGAACCTAATATCAGCAGGTTTATGAGTTGGTAGGTGTAATGGAAATAATAATGCACCATGGCTTACTAGTTAAACAATTATATTTGCCTAAATTGCATTATTCTATTTTAGTTATTAGGGTCGTCTCACTTTTTTAAAACACAAGCATGGCTTCCTCGAACTAAAATATTTCGAAAACGGTTGCTTCTTTTTGCATAAAAAGTGAGAAAATCATAATTTTTTACCATAAATATAATATCGCTTCACGAGTGCTTGAAATTGAAAAAAGACGTGTAGGTATCGCCCCTTGGAAGGAGTTAAATTAAGAACAGATTAAAATTTCCTAATTTAAAAAACAACAGATCCGTGTATTATTTGGGAAATTAAGCAGAAATATTAAAAATAAATTTTCGATATCCTTTATCTGGGAAACGAGGCGTTTTAGCGCACACGTTTATAATGATATGTTGCTTAGTTTGCGTAAGAAGTGCCAATTATTTAAAATAATTCTACAAACGATTTACCCTCAAAAACCCCTCACAGGTAGAGAAATTGTGAAATAAAATAAAATAATCTCTTGTGTATTCTGTATGACAAAGAAAACAATCCCAATTACAACCCGTTTCTCTATAAATAAAATTGGCCTCAGAAAATCCACATTGAGTGTTTCCACGGACCCATTCCTTTTTACAGTTCACAGCAGAAGCAGCCACATGTTACATGTACCTCCAAAAAAATCATATTGAGTAGCAGCCACATGTTACCGTAAAACCCTATTCTACCATAGGAAGCAATTCGTTCCAACTCATAAATGTAGCTTATATTGGCAGCATTTTATGAACAACTTGTCGGGTATCCTCTGATAATGTTATTGTTAAGAACCTACCTTATCTAAAATGTTAGGCGCGTGGCCTTGAAATTTAACAGATCTATCCCTGGCCCTTTGCTTGCGCTCCCAGCGTCGCTTGCTGGGTACAATGCCCATGCCCTGCTCGTCACCCGAAGAGAGCACGCGGCGAGCTTGCCACCACTCGTCGTCGCTCGCATTGGTCACGTGGAGAATGTCGCCGTAATGGAAAGCCAAGCCCCGCGACGGAAGGCCGTCGTCTTTCATAGGATCGTAATCGAACAGAGCTCTGGAAAACGTGTGTACATTTCAAAATATTGGTGTCGGAGCGTCAATCGGACAAAATCGTTACCGCACGTAGAGGGACCGTTTTTGAGAGGTTCGGAGTAGAGTACCTCCCGTCACAGGGTGCGCCATCTGTTGTTTCAAGTCGTGAATTTTCGCTTCGAACCTATTGTACTCCTCCGGCCTGTACTGTACTACGATGGTAACAGTCTGATTTATTCCCTGCAAAAGTTTTCGCTTCGTTATAATAATAGAAGAAAAAACATACCGCCTGTTTCAAATTCGGATATCGAAAACAGCAAATTAGGGCAAATTATTGCTTCAAAAAATGGATGTCTTTGATTCGTCAGAAAATACGGATGAAATAGTGCAACTTGCGTTTTAGAACTTTGTCAACTTCATCATGTCTTTTTACCCAAGTCTCTATAGTCTCTTGCCCATCACCAACTATAATTTTGACCCATTTAATTACGTTTTTGATATTTAATATTAAATAAAATGCCAAACTTGTTGCATAATATACTATTTGATACCTTGAGGATCACTCTCTCCAATTAGCATTTTTTTAACTTACGATCACATTTATCTATCACGTCGTTTCATTTGGTGTTTGTGATATTTTACCGATATTGAATAAAAAAATTGTTGGTTTCATCAACAAAAGTCCTACTGGTCAGACGTACACACATGTACCACATGAATTGCTACGTTTAGAGAAAGATGCATTACAGAAGATTTTCATGTTTTCAAATATAGGAAGTGCAATTTCAGCTTTGGGTCTAACATTGACCAAAGAAAAGCCAAGAAGAAAATTGTACTTGGAATTTTTTCCCGGACATTATGCAAAGATCTCCTTTGAAATGTCCGTTTCTGCAGTAGATCCAATTAAAATTACATGCGTTGAATTTAATAGTGTCTCGCTTTCAACATCACATTATTAATAAAAGCATATGCATTTAAAGGTCAGATGATATTGTTCTTGCGTCATTTTCCAACAACGTAACACTTCAAACGCAGCAGTTCGGATTTTTGAAGAAGAGTAACTTGTAATGCATCATTAAAAAGGTAATACAAGAGGCTTTCCAAAACTACCAACATCCAGGACAGTAATATAAAGTCGGTATATTAAAATTGTACATAAAACGGTTTCCTAGCAAACCGTTTTTCCTGGAATTCGGAATTCGCAAATACATTTTTGTGTCAATAAAATACATCACAGAAACAAAAAAATATGAAATTTGAAATTTTGGATTATAAAAAAATTAAACCCAAGTTTATGAACATAATTTCGATAAAGTGAAAAGAAACGATATTTACACCAACTCAAAAGAACGTTTTGCTGTCTTCCCTATACAAAGGCGAGAAAAAGCTGAAATTTACATTTATCGAAACGTCTGCCAATACGCTTTGAGTGTCTTCTTGCTCATGTTCCGAAGTTTTCAAAAACACCAATTGAGGGCTTACTTTAAGGGCCTGCGCGGCCTCCTCGTGGGTCGCGTTCCTCAGGTTGATTCCATTAACGCTAAGAATTTGGTCGCCCCTTTTGAGCTCGCCGCTAAGATCGGCCGGTCCTCCGGCCAAAATGAACGAGATAAATATCCCCTCGCCATCCTCGCCGCCAACGATATTGAAACCGAGTCCCGAATTGCCCTTTTGCAACGTCACGGTCCGCACTTCCCTGGAACAAATTAATATACGTGACTGTTTCCGGAATGCCGTTTGCGTCCAAAGAACGTTCTATCGTGATTACGAAATCAGCGATCAAAGTGTAAAAAAAGTCATAGCGATTTGACGGTGGGAATTGTGGACTCGACCACCGATAAACCACTCCTGCTTCGATATCATCATGGTGTTTTTTATAAAAGAGAAATAAGAAAAATTGCACATCAAAACCCACTAACCTGAAAATACCATGTATACGATGACAAATCCAATCATTAATCATTAATTATTACTAATATTATGTCACACATTTCGATTACTATCATTTTAACTAGTAAGTAAAATACATTTTTGTGAAATTTGGTCGAAAAATATTTAATGAAATGGCAAATTATTTTGTAGTTCTGTTAAAAAAAAAAACAGTAGGTAATATCCCAGGCTAACAGGGTGACATCAGATTACGTGGAATCGATGTTGACATGTGGTGACATTGGTCGATGGTGACAGATACATTACAAGAACCCTTGTAGAAAACGACGATAAGTGGTGGTGGTATTTCATAATGTTCGTAAATTTTATAAGTTACAATATTCATTTTAGAGTATCCAATTGATTCTTAGTTACTTAATTTTTATATGCTTCAAAAAGCGTCCAACTCTTTCAAAGAATGGCAGACATCAAAGGAAAATTGTTTGTTACCATACAAAATAGTATGCTAGCTACGCAGTTAGTACATATGATGTATAGGGTGGGCCGTTTATCTTGAAACCACTACCTTTAGCTGAGAAACTATAGGAGATCGAGCCAAAAGTTATATACAAAAATTTATTGGGGTATTAATTATAAACCTTCAATTTATTTGAATGTTGTATATACAAGGTGTTTCATTTTTCGTGGGCAAGTATCAACTTTCGTATTTTAAATGTTAACACTTGGTATATTAATTCATTTTTGAATTCTATACAAAATTCTAGACATATGACATACCTGACATTTTTAATTTTTTATGCGAAAAATGACGTTTGCAATTCGGAAGCATTTATTGTTTCACTTGAGTAAGTTTTGTTGTGGACAAAAGACTCGAATAACGGATTTCATAAGAAATTCCGATACATATTAATACAGGGTACGCGAAACATAAGATTAAAAATGAAATAAAAAAAACTGCCAAAAAACTATTTTTTTAAAATGGGAACTACATATTTTTATAATCTTGTCATATTTAGCTTAAAAATTAAGACCATTTAATATAAAGTTCTATATGAATAATATTTTTACTTTTCAGGAACAGGTAGAACTTCTGTCCAAGTGTGGTGCGAAATTTGGAGATTCAGAATAATAGGTTTAGTATTTTTTGAGGAGAACTTAAATTCCCAACGCTACTTAGAGCTTAAAATATTATTATCCATCCCTTTATTGAAAATGAAGTGCCTGAAAGGGAACGACGGAATTTAAATTGGCAGCAGAATGGCGCTCCTTAACACAGAATTCAAGAATGGTAGTTACGCCTGGTCTCCACGGAGCCCCGATTTAACTCCGTTAGATGTTTTTCTATGGGGTACACTTAAAGCTATAGTTTACCAACAGAAACCGTCAACTGCCGAGGAATTTAAACGACGGATAAGAGAAGGTAGTGGGTATTTAAATGGGACTGAACCTGTTAGAAATGCGATTATGTATTTAGAAACCCTTTATACTACTTGTATTGCTCAAAGTAGAGGGCATATTGAACAACTATTACAATTTTCATTACCTTTTGTAAGCTATTATTTCTTTTTTTGATCGTTCGTTAATAAAATATTCGCCAACGTTATTGCGTATCCTTGGTCTTATTGTGGTATAAAAAATGCAAAGACATATTTACATAATCTTCTATCATAAGCGCATCGGCAAGATTATGGTCTTTATGAAATGGTAAATCATAGTGGCACCAGTTTAGCACTTGTTTTGTTCAAACGCCGTCACAGCCATCTTACACTAACTGAACTTATATGGCAACAGCATATAATTTGTCATTGACAAATGTTTAAAAAAATATATATATATTAGGCATATACAACCTTATATAAAATTGCCTTAATTTTTAATTCTAAATATGACAAGGTTATAAAAATAGGTAGTTTCCATTTAAAAAAAAGTTTTTTTTGCAGTTTTTTTAATTTCATTTTTAATCTTATTTTTCGTATTAATATGTAACGAAATTTCTTATGAAATCAGTTATTCGAGTTTTTTGTCTACAACAAAACTCAAATGAAACAATAAATGCTTCCGAATTGAGAAATTGACAGATATTTTAAGTCCTGCAAACGTCATTTTTCGCATACAAAATTAAAAATGTCAAAAACGGTTACACTTAGGTATAGGACATTATACACAAAATATGTCTAGTATTTTGAATAGTAATATACCAGGTGTTCCATTGAAAATAAGAAAGTTGGTAGTGTCCCAAGATAAACGGCCTACCCTGTACAATGTACTATTGCACCTTGTTGATTTATTTACTACATAAAATATTACGTTAATTTTAATTTTTTTATTTAATTTTTTTAGTTTTGAATTAGGAAATAAAAAAAAAATTGAGTATTACAGTAGTATTACATTAGTATACAATTTTGCGTCGATAGTTTCGTTACTGACGTAATTTAGAACGTACACTTCATTTTTTTAACGACAATTGCGAACATCAAGAGTTGTTTTGTAGCTCTGGATTCGGCTTTTCCACTGGCATTGCGAGGTGCAAAAAAAATTGTTTTTCCAGTCAAACACTCAAATAAAGATGATTCCGCCAAAGAAAAACTGCATTTTAAATTAATTAAAAAAAAATAATTATAACCAGCAAAAATTGAAGTATACTTTGCATTTTAATACATTTTATAGTAACTTTTTAAATTAAAAATAATTGAGAGGTCACTATGTGAAATATGGGACACTTATTAAATAACACCACGTAGCTATAGAAAGCACATCAGAATTGTAATGCATAATTTATAATAATTGCTAATAAACATAAATCATATTTAATAGATATACATAAATTACAAACGGTATTTTTTAAATAAATGCCGCAGTCAGTTATCTTAGTTATTAAAATTCCTCTTAAGCTAACAAAACGGATCTGCAAAGTACAGTGGATATTAAAAAAAATAACCGGAGAGGAAATTTAATGAAACTTCGAGGGGAACTGTTTGCAAATTTCAATAGGCAAATGAAAAACAAGAAGCAATCTCTGCATAAAAATATTTACCTATTCAAAGGAACAACAAAAATTTATGAAGAATACGAGGCAAATTCCTACTATCTCGGAAAACAAATTTACATTATAGCTTAAAACACAACAATCTCGCTCATTTCTTAGGAAAAATGATCGGTAAATAAACCGGATCGATAGAAATATTCATTTTAAATAATATGGGATGCTATTAACTACTTATTGCTTCATTAAATTTAAAATGTAGTTCACCTACTTCAGGCCCATTCGCGACAACACACGCAAAATGTCATATCCTGAATTAATTAGAAACGAATCTCTCCGAAGAATGATGGTCTAGACTAGGTTCATATATTAGTTTCAGTTCTGGTACTAAAAGCTAGAATTATTCCCATATGTGGTCTTCTGTTTTTTTCTTTCGGTAATGCTTCTGCAATTGTGAAGCACAGTTCAAATAAAACAGCGACCACATTTTTTTTAATCATATATTTTTTTCCTTTTTATAGGTGATTATTATGTTTTGTTAGCTTAAACTAGGCCACAACATAATTTTGAAAAATTTTGAGAATAACACTTAACCTACGGTAAAACTGTTAGGCAACAAGGACTTGTGTTGTCTTGTTTTATTATAAAATTGAGAATGATGTCACAAGACGTAGTCTTGAGCAAGTCACAGCATTCGTGACCGATCTTTTCACCACGGCTAAGGTAAAGAACTGTGTTTTGATGTTGACGTTTAAGTGGGTTTTTATATACTTGCGGCTGTGTTTTTTTTTGGCTTTTGGTATTGGATATTGGTAATGACTACGATGGATATTTAAAATTAAGAGAGATTTATAAATATTAATATATAATATTTTAAATACACTGAATCAAATTAAATATAATTCAGGAATAAATGTAATTAAACGAAAGCAAAAATGCCTTGTTCTCGATTATTTGCAATTTGTCGTTTTATTTATTTGTTTTGGCGTTTTTCGATGACTGTGGATATTTCATTCTATTCAAACCGAGCACGGCGTCATTAGTTTGAATAACATTGACCACATCGGAGAAGTTCACTAATTTAAAATTGTCTCATTGTTAATTGAAAACAAAAAAGGCAAATATCCACACTTATGCAGGGTTTTCAATTATTGTTAAAATGTTACTCCGAATTTTTGTTAATTGGGACTTATCGTGCCTCGCTCGTTACTTTCTGCTAACGGTGATATCGAGGAAATAAATATTCGTGGTCTCCATATTGGCATGCCCAATGACACCAGATATTTACTAAGGTTATAATAATTCAAACTAATTAAATCAAACCTTTTTCGGGAAACTGGAAATACACATTTTCTGATTGTAATTACGTCATAAGTTACTAATGTAGTAGATACAGTTTATAATCGGGACATATTGACTGCGCTTCGAGAATAGAGAAAACGAAAAATCTGCTTTAGAGATGACAGAGCCTCTAGGTACCAAACTACAATAACTGTACTACTATACTTTTTTATACTATAACGGTGAATTTAACAATGATACAGGTCTTGGTTCAAATATTTCATCGTGCTGTCTGTATTTCCTACCCTGTCCGGCAATTGAAAACAACTCTAGAAACGCCCTGGACAATGAATCATTTTATTCCATGAGGTTGAATATTTTCACCAAGTAATATCTAGAAATTATATGTTTTTAAACGAGAAGGTTCGGAATTCTTATCGCGAACGTTTGTTGTAATAAGCAAGTCGTCGCTCGGGACTGTGCCGACTGCTATAATATCTGCGAATGTATGTTTCCTGCGAGAAATTAGCATACTGCGCCCG